TCGGGGGGTGTGCGGGCCTGGCCTGGGGGCCCGAGGAGCGGGAACAGCGTGGGTTTGAGCTGCGGCATCCCTGTCTGCCTTGTCAGCGGGACGAGCTTTGTCAGTAAGGCAGCGTCAGGTGAACAGGGTCCAGACTGTTTTCCCCCACCTCTGCTTTGCCGCTTCGTTGGTGTTATTTACTAGAGGCTAATTAAAAGTATTACTTAGCCCCTGCAGTGAGAGAAAGCCTGGTTCCCGACTCCCCGACTGCTGTGACACCTCGGCAGGAAGGCTGAGCTGGAGGAAAGCCTTCTGCTGTTTACAAGGGGATTGAGTTCAAACGGCTCCATGTTGTGGTGAGGCTGGACTGGGCAACGTGTTGCATAGCTTGTGATGTGCAGCTAGCCAACTTTGCCTTCCAGAGAGTTTGGAAAAGTTTTTTGTATGTCTTGGCAAGAACGTGTGCATTTCCAACCCAACCTTGGACTGGGGATGTACGAAGGAAACTTAAGTTTTGCTTGAAGTTTAGGAAGCGCAAATTAGGAACGCAATGAGAGGGTGGTTTATACCTGTTACGTGTAGACTCTGGCCTGTATCAGACCAGCAGTCTGTGTGAGATGAGACTTCTCAACGGGCTCAGTGTCTGAACAGATGGCTCTGTGTAATCTTGTTTTACAGTTTGTTGGCATTGACTTCGCTAATCTGTCCTATGAGGAGATTCTGTGCTTTCCTGCAAGCTTAAAATGAAAATCTAAATAATTGTTAGCATGGGGTTTCATACACGTCAACAATAGGCTTGCAGAGATGAGAAGAAAATATTCTAGAGATTGTATGTGATGTGCTCTGTTAGCCAGACAACAACAACAACTTTAGGAGAGGTGTGTTTCCCGCACTGGATAACCTCAAAACTTGTGTGGTCAGAGTTGCTTCTGTTGTAGCCTGCAGGGAAGTAACTTCACCTGTTAGTTCATAATAGCCATGTTTTATCTTGTGCGAAAAGTTATAAATCTTAAAATACAGATTACATGTGTGCATGATTTACCTGTGTTTGAGGTGAGCAGATTTTAACCGGTCTTATTTCAAAGTGTTGGTCCAAGCAAAGATTTGTACAGAAATAGGTTGTCAACTGCATGTATCTCCATGCCAAAATCTAAACGTAGATCAAGCAAAGGCTTTTTAGCTCTCTTGTTGCCCACAAAGTCAATCTTGGGATCTTGTAGCTTTCTGAATTTCCACACAAAAACACTTAGTGCATGACTTCATTTTTGGTGCTTTTTATGCTATCCAAAAAACAACTTAAAAACTTTGCGCTTGAGATACAGTTTGGTGCTAAGTTTCTAGGAGTATGAGTAATGAAATGGAAAACTTAAAAATCTGGACATATCTTGGTAGTGTGGAAAGTATTGCTTGCTAGTACTGCCTGGTAACTAGCTGAGTTCAGACATGTTTGTGGAACGGGGCCAAGTAGGCCTGCATGGTGACAGTGACAAGGCAGACTGCAGAATATTTGGGGTTATGTGGACCCAGTGACTGGATTGTCTGTAAAGCAAATCATTGTTTGTTCCTTTTTTCCTTCGAATTAAGTATCTTACATGCGTTTTCACTTAGCTCTGTCATGCCTCCAGATTCTTTTAGAAACCTCCCCACGAGCAAAGCTATGGAGAGAATACTCCTCTTGCCTCATCTACACACCTTTTGTCCTTGAAGAACAACAAAAGCTGTTGCTGCTTCTCTGTGCATCAACTTTCAGATGGTCAACAGCTCTTTTTCCTTTTTTTTTTTTTTTTTTTTTGGTCAGTGATGTTCATAAACTTTATGTCATCAAGGAAAGTCATAGAAATTGAAGAGGAAACTATTTCTTAGATGATTTAATGTTAAATATTTGTCATCTCTACTTATGGTATTCTTTCCATGTTTTATTGCCAAGTTTTATTGAAACTATGCTTTTGCTCTGAGTGATAATTCTGTAACATTGCCTATATTGAAATACATGTGTTTTAGAGAGAAGAAACAAATACAATATTTGGTTGTGCCAAAATCAGTTCCTAGCATGGTCAAAAACAGAAGCTCAGATCCCTCTGCCAGAGGGGGATGAATCCCTTTTTATGGGGCTGACCACTGTGAAAACATCACCACATGGTGTCTTCAGTTGTGCTAATAGGATCCAGAAGTATTATGGATTATATCAGTACAGCATTCAAGGATCAGCTCTCACTACTAAATGTTATCCTAATTTTTTCAGTATCAGTTCTCTCCTGTGTTGTTGAATGATGAACCTGGAAGGCAGAGCTATACAGCACTGTTCATAGAAGACTTTAGAGTAACTTAGTCATGCCCCTTGGGCACATCTTTACTTTTCTTGTCAAGTTTACTCTTTTTCTACCCAGACTACTTCTGTTGTTCTTACTTTTCTGTGAGTTTCCTATAATTTTTCAGTGAATATTTCTATTCTAAAGTATATGTGACCAAAAATTGTAGTTCAGTTGCCTTTGATATCAGGAGTGGGGTGTTTAATTTTTGTGTGCTGTTGCTGTACATGCGTCTTCTCTACAGGTACTGTTCCCCCTCTCTCCCCCATTCTCAGTCTGTGAAACTACATTTCTCTGTCCAGCTACATGATCTAATAATAATATATGTTAACCTGAATGCAATGAGATTTCTGTTTTAAAGACAGAAAACGTAATTCACCTGATTCTATGGAGAAAGGAAAACAGAACAGTTCAGCTTGTGGTGCTGTTTTTGAAGTACGTGTCCAAAGGCAGAGAAATCTTTAAGGGAGATTAAAATCCTGTTGCATCATGCGCCTAAAGACAAATATCTTGTAGCTCTCAAAGTTCTCCTGTCCTGTAACGGAGGTTATTGCTCATGTGACTCACAGAACGGGCAGGAGCCTAGTTTACCACAGCAACTTTGTCTGAGTGTAGTATAAATTAATGGTGAGTTGACTGGGAGTATGTATCGGTTGAAACTTTTAAGTAATGCATTCAGCTGTAGGGACTTAAGAGCCCAGAAGGAATCGGAGCAAAAGGTAACTGCTGAAAGGAGGTACCTTCCTCTTTTTTCCTTTTTTTTCATACCCAGAGCATTAATCTGCTTCTCTTCCACCCGTTCTGAAGAGTTTCGAATTGCTCCCACGTGAGATTCCATCAGCTTTGCTCTGGAGCATTTGCTAGGGATTTAATGAAAATCAAGTGCATCACCCTCCCCCAATCTAGCCTACTTCTTGGTTTCTCTAAGCACCTCAAGGCGAAGGGAACTGAAGCAGGCTTCTCCCTCTCCATTAGGTTTTTTGCTTCAGTTGAGCACCCTGAGCAGCACACAGGAGAAAGTGTTTGAGTAATTTGGATAATTTTCAATTCAGAAAGGGCAGGAATCTTAATGGATTTGCCTAAGGAAATTACGACAATATGCAAAGCAATGCACTGCTAGAAATACCCACTCTGGTTGACCAAATTATATTGCTTCCAGTTCCATGGGAGACCAGTCCACTACTTCTCTGGGGTCTTTTAGGGTCTTCTAGGGCTTGCATATCCATTGCAGAGCATAGGTATGCTGTTAAAAATACTAAGCTTTGTATTATTTCTTTACAGCTCAGGAACAGGTGGTGTTCTTGTGCTGAGGACGGATGTCCTAAGCTCTAAATGGGGTAAACTAAGTGCCCATCTCCTTATGTAATTCCTTCATGTCTCAGAACTCTCCTGCCCTTCAGTCTAATAATTTGGATTAATATACAAATGCCACTTTCATTTGATATTTAAAATGCACAGGAATAAACTACATTGTGCAGCCCTCAAGATTAACAAATTAACTGTGCCAGTAAAATAGATTGGCAAGCATCTAATCTCCCTTCTGCTTGGCCTTCCAGATAAATCCAAGCATGGAAGTAATCCCGTTTGATTGTATACTAAAATTGTACAGGCTGGCTTGCTTGCTTCTTTCGAAAGACTCTTGTATCTTAACAAGGACAGTCTCCTGAATCAGTTGTACAACAAACAAATCTAACTACTTCATTCTCCACATTCCTATGACTAAGCTGAGGGTCCTGGAATTGTCTAATGCATTTGAATGTTGTATTTTTCTCATAGGTTTCTGGCTTATGTAAGCACCATGACAGTATTTGAGCTATGAATGTTATAAAGAAAAATAACAGCAAATAGAAAAATTTATTTACTTGCCAGAGGATACTCTGCCTCGTTCAAACAATCTGAATCTTTGAGATGCTTAAACACACAAATCTATGCTGAACTGGCATGCCCTCCTGAGTTCTAGTGAGTTTTTTCAGGAAATATCCATATAAGCACCTCAGCAAGTTTTTTTTAAAAAAAAAAAAAAAGCCTTAAAGATCAGGTATATGATCAGGTTTCCAAAGATTGACAAGCTATCACCCTAAACTCTAACAGATATAAAGCAGTAACTTTCATGTCCGTGTTCATGGCCTGTGGCAAATGCAAGGTAGCTTGGCTTGCATTAGCTCATAATGGAAGCAGATCAAATTAAGCTGAATTGCTTCACATTTACTTCAGGCTGAGCTTGCACACAGGCAATTACTGTGGGACAGCTGATAACCTGGTAACTTGACCATGTGCACTAACTGTTGTATTTTTAAGTGTGTACATTTAAATTTGCAAGACCCTTTCCAGCTCAACAGCCCTCTGTCCCTTGAAATGCTTCAACTCTTTAGGCATCTTGATGTTCCTCTGTTTTACCTGAGTGAACAGTAGATGCCCAAAAGATTATCGGGACATTCTTGTTCAGCATTATATGTGTGTACATCATTTGGATTAGCTTTCCTGTAGGTATCGAGTGAAGGGTAGTGCCTGCAATTTAAAGGCTTTCGCTGCTTAAATGGAAATTACTGGGGAATCAGACTTTTCTACGTAGTTAAAGATAGCCTCAGGTTATGAGTAAATGTGTTGGGTTTGGTGGCAGGATGAGCATATCATTCTGCTCACATTGCAGCACGCTATGGGAGTTTGGAGAGTTGTGGCAAGGAATGGAAGAGCATGAAATGTGATGATGTCTGCCAGTATCCCAGATAGTATTTGCAATCCCTTCTTCTAGACCACTCAGTTGACTACAGGATATAACCTCTATTGCACTGTACGATTATTTGAGGAGGCTCCCTGGCAAGCTTGACCTTCTATTTTTTTTTTTATTTTTTTTTTTAAAGTTGGACAGTGCTGCCAGAAGCGGCTTTGTTGGAAAGTGTCGCTGCAAGGCCTGGATACAACTCGTGCCTTAGCACAGCTGCAGCAATATTGTACTGATGCTCTCGCTTGGGCAGCTGGCTGTGGAAACAAGCAACGCTGATCCTTGCTTGCTCATACTACTGGGGCTGGTATGTGTATCAAGCTTTCAGAGGCTGCGAGCAGCGTATTTTGTGTATAGTGGACAATGTCTAGCAGAAGGCAAGACAGCTCTTTAGTGCAGGCTGCCCTGGTTGCTTTTGGCGAGCTTGTCAGGCGCAGCAGTGGTGGTGAGCTATTACCTGTTCTGTGCAATGTCTGGGTTTGAGAGAAGGGCAAGAAAGGTCATAGAGGAGGATCACCAACAGAGGTAAAACTTCAGGAGGAAGACGATGGTGTCCATGAAGGGCTGCACAGAACCTCTTACATGATGTAACAGACAAACAACATTGAGATTCTTGCTGAGCAGCAGGAAAGGGAGCTGCCCAAGTTCCTCAGAAGCTACTGGCCATTGACATATTCCTCTGTCAGTCAGTTTGGAGTTGAAATGACAACAGCTAGCTGTGCAGCATGGGAAACTGCAGCAGCGTACCAAAAGCTTTTGGTCTTGGATGTGTCTGGGTGATGCATATTTGGCCAATAACGGCAGGTTTCTTTGGGATGCGATTCCCCAACGATATTTGGAGAGGCTTGCAGAGCTCTGACCTCCACCAGTGGCAGAAAGGGATTTTATTTTGTCTGCAGCAGGCCGGAGAGCTACCATGGATGCCTTATTGACATCGGTGCTGCAGATCTGGCTTGTGTTTTCCGCAATGCCAGCCTGGTTAATGTCTTACAGGAGCCAAGCAAAAATAGCAGGTCAGCAGCTCCATTAAGATCATCAAACCAGTGCTTGGCACAAACTGACCTAGCTGAGCAGCCTCAGACAGAACTGCCTTATGAAGATAAGCAGCTTCACTTGCCAAGAGCTGTTCTGTTATTGCCCTAGCAATTACTGCCTGTTGTTCGCTATGGATTTTGCGTGTAGCAGCCAGAGAGGAGCCCCCTAGGGTTGGACTGCAGTCTAATGCAAAGTCCCTTTCCTGAATTCTGTTTTGGTTTGCGTTGTTTGGTTTTTTTCATACAATCAGAGAATTGCATTGGTGGAAAGCAACCTCTGGCGGTCCTGCCTAAGGTAGATCTGGCGAGAGCAGATTCTTTAGGGCCCTGGCCAGCTGAGTTCTGAGTGTCTCCAAGGATGGAAATCCCACATGCTTTCTGGAGCCCTGTCACAGTGTTTGACCACCTTTGTGGTAATTTTTTTTCTTCTCTTACTGAGTTGGGAATTTCCCACTTTCCAGTTACCTTTTACACTTTCCACTTACCAGTTGCCTTTCATTGTGCACCTCTGAGTAGAACAAGGCTCTCTTTCCTCCATACCCATGAGGTAGTTGTAGACAGCAATAAGGACTTTTGGCCTTCTCTTCTTGAGGCTGAACACAGCAGTTCTCTCAGCTGCTCTTCAATACAGCAAATGCTCCAGCCCAGTGTGTCAGTGTCTTTTGTACTGGGGGAGATCCAAACGCGGACACAGTGCTCCAGATGTGGTCTCACAAGTGTCAGACAGCGGGAGAGAGTCACCTTCCTTGAGCTGCTGGATGCAGTGTTGCTAGAGCAGCCCAATGTATGGTAGCCTTTGCTGCCATGATCTTTTCAAGTAGGTGTTGTAATTGTTCGAGCAGGTTCCTGACAGCGCTTGTGACATTGTCAGCCTCTGCTATAACCTTAATCTGCACACAGAATCTAGGTGCAAAGTGGCAACTTTGTGCAAAGTCTTTCTTTGTTGTTTGCTGGAAATGTGTGCGAAAGTAAATATTAAGATGTTCTTTTTCCGTTTAATAGACAAAAGGTCACATACAATTCTAGCTTGTGCTGCCTTTGAAATTGTTTGTTTCTCTGCCCTGAAGGATAAAGTTCAAGTTTCCAGTGATTTATTTTGAACAAATGTGTAATAATTTATTAACAGTTACGCAGAACTTGAACTCTGCAAAGCCAAGTGGTAAAGCCTATTGTGGGCCAGGTACTAAAGTTAGGGCAGTGCACTATACCCTGCCTCGCATGCTACTGGTGAGCCTGCAGTGTCACTGGTTTCTGGCAGCTCTAGTGCGCAAGGTGAAAGCTCTGATGGGGAAGATATGGAACAAGGTCCAGAGGATCAAGTACCACAACGGGGTAGGGACACACTAAAGGGTAGCAAATTCTCCTGAGGTGTTGCAAGACTGCTCCTCTTCTCTCATCATTGGTACTATCTTTTGGCCTTCAGCCTACTCTATACCTACGTTTCTGTTCGACGGTGAAAATGCTTGCTGCCTGGCTGTGATCTGTGATAGTGACAGATCAGTCCACCTACTTCAAAACTGCATGTGCTCGCTTTGACAGATGTCTCTGTTGTCACAACAGCCTTTTCCCTGCCCCCACTCTTACACAGTCCTCATCTGAAGCAGGTATCTATCTCTCAGCCTACTTTATTTCAGACTTGGGCGAAAAAAAATATGGCAGTGATTGTTTATTCCTTGCTTTGACACATAAGCATCTATTTATCAGAACTCTTGAAGGACTATCCTCATCAGTTTTGTTCCTCTGTTTTATCCAGTTATGATGATGACAAAGTTGGTTTTGCCCAAGAGAAAGAACTCTTGAAGAACTGCTGCTGCTTGGAAGTAGCGTGTTCACTCCTGGCATTCAGAGACCAAAGCAGCCCCAGCAGAGAAATTAGAGGGGATAAATACCCCAAGACCCTCTGCCTATAGAAAGGGAAAGGCGATGCCTCTGCCTCCCACGGCCATGGGTGCCGTGGCACTGATCTAAGTAAGACCCATCAGAGAATGTCTGACAAGTGGAACTGGGACAATGTACCCCATCACTGCTACCGCACCAGGTATCTTGGAAGAACCTGAACACCAGCAGAAGAAGAGTGGCCCCTAAAGTTTCAGCAGAGAAGCCAGCATCCTGCAGGCTGCGGGATGAAATATTGCTGTCAGACTACTGTTTAGTTTTAGGCCCCTGATACACTAACTGGGGCCCAGTGTGTGATATTCTGCCTCCTCTTTGGGAATTGGGGAGGGGCAGCAGAATGCAACTGGGCTGAGCTTCGTTTTTACCAAACTTTTTTTTTAATGAGTGGAATAATTTATTCTTATTCTGAGCATCTGATTCCAGCCTTTGAAAAGCAGTTGCAGGGCACTTTCAGCATCATAAGCTGTGTGAATACAAGCAGGGTGGCTGGTGGAATAGTTGCTAGGGACAGGCAAGGCTGACAGTGTGGTGAGGGATGCAGCCAAATCCTAAGTTAAGGCAGAGGCCCTCAAAATATCTAAGAAAAGACTGAATGTCACAAGCACTTGAATAAAACATTAAAAAAACCCAAACAACCAAACCACAGCTCTGAGGCTGTGTTTAAAGGAGGAGGATAGTATCTAGACTGTGGCTGGCTTTGGGAGGCCTGAGTCTGGTCTGATGCAAACAGATGTCCAAACCAGAGCAAAGCCTGTTGGCCAAAAGTTAAGCCAGCAGCACTTTCTGAGCAAACTTTTACTAGAGCCGTGCTTCTCATGTTCAGGTGGGTTTTTATCATGTCTACAGTGTTTCTGGTCTAGCTCTGGGAAACCTGCAGATGGCTTTAGCAGGTCATCACATTCCAGTATCTAAAAGTTGAACAATAACAACAAAACTTGTTGGAAGAAGGTGCTGCTTGGATGTAAAGGACATTGGTGTGGGAAGTGGTCTGCTGGGGGAGGGTGCTGATGGATGGAGGCTGACTAAAAGGATCAGGAGCCTGCTGCAAGCAAGCAGAAGCTAGAGCAGAGGAGTACTAGTCTACTGCATAAGTTCAAGAGAATACCAAATGTGGGTATGCACGCAGCCTTTCTGTTCTAAATCCACTTTTCTGGGTGTTGTGCACCTTGTTTGGCAAAATAAAGTTATAGCACATCTGTCATAGCATGCTGTCGCTGCCTACAAGTTTACAAAGGGGTATGATCCCAGGCACCAAGCTCTTAGGTTATGATAAAGTAATTGACCCTGGAGCAGTAACAGCTGGTGACCCTTTGAAGAGAGGTTTGATCTTGAGATCCTACCATGATAGGTTTAGGTTTCCCACTTCCAGGGAACTGCAAAAGCATTTCAGCAGGGACTTTTTTTCTAAGGTGCAGTTATATTGTCGGTTTAGTGCCTGAAGCAAACCTTTGCTGTTGCTCTGTTCTACAAAACACACAATTTAATTTTACAACTTGTGTAAATTTCAACCCTGCACTTCTGTCCCCCAACCTCCACTTAAGCTGTTAGTTTTTAAAGGCAGGGAGAGGAAACCATGGAATAGACTATAGAGACTATTATCACAGATCATATGTTCAAGCAAGATGTCTCATAAGTTACTGACAAAGAAAACTGAATACTCCGTGCGGGCTAACTGCCTGCAATTGCGAAGTCAGTATAAAACTGAACTCTTCTGGTCCTGGCTGAAGACTCTAATTTTAGGAAAAGGTTTCTTTTCTTGGTATGTAGACAAGAGCCCAAAGAAGGTGAGCACTGGCAGGATAGGATGGTGTTGCCAAGCTCTGCATGCAGGAGGGAAAAAGTATAGCCGTAGTGTGGACGGAGTAGTTTGTTTGAAAGAAAGACATTTTGTTTCTTTAGAAGCAACTTTGGGTTGAAATCTTTGGGATTACTGTGGTGGTGAGATAATAAACATGGTTCTTTAGTGACTGACAGAAAACAGGCTGAAATCTGGAATATACGTTGCTAATAACTCTTCTTTTCTCTGCATACAGGGAAACAGCTGGATGGCATCTGGTAAGTGACTAGATTTAAATTACATAACGTGTGTTAAACACTGTGTGGTGTAGGAAGTATTTTCAATAGGAGATTATATATGCTTCAGATCTTAAGAGTATTTTGGTGCTGAAGAGAGACCAAGGCACTTTCTGTGCCTGAATACAGATTGACAGTAAGATGATGTACAGGCAGGGTGCTGGTTAAAAGTCTCCATTGAAAGCTCAGTGGACCCCATGAAAAAAAAGCGTTGGTAGTAGTTCATTGCACTTTAGTGCAGTCGTGCCCATTTTGAAAGTGGATATTGTCCTTGTCCCAAGCATTTTGTCTTCTAACTGGAGGCATGACTAAACAGGAGAGTAAAAGAGTAGGTGGGAAGAAGGTATTACAGAATCAGGCCTTCTTGCACTTAAAAGCAGTGGCTATATTTGATAACAAAACACCCCCCAATTTGCTATATATAATATCCAGCATTTAAAAGGGGGGAAAAAAAATTAAAAAAGGGGGGGGAACCCAGACCCTTGTCTATCCATCTTCCCTCTCTATTGATCCACCTCCAGTGATTGTCTGACCTTCTTCTCAAGTCAGTGTCTGTCAGACGTGCACTACTTCTGTCAACATGGTAGCAGGACTAGCTCTGTCCCTCTGTCTCTGCAAGTTCACTGTCAAGCCTTTAGCTGAAAGAGGCTGCTGGAGATCTCATGCTGGTGTGGAAGTCTCTTTCTTCCCATGTTACTTCATGCCTGGGCACCTAGCTAAGCCTGTTCTTTCCCAACCATTTACAGAGTTACAGTAGGTTTGATAATCATTGCTTCCATATCTTTCGTGTCCCAGCAGATCCTGTTCCTACTCACAGAAACACGTTGACTTTTTCTTTCAGTTAATCACTTCATGATGTTCTTGAGCACATAAATTGACCAGTGGTTTATGTGCTAGGTTAAATATTTCCTTTGCTTCACCAATGTTTTGTTCTCTGTGGCAGGCACACCTCCATAATAGTCCATAAGGATGAATTCTTCTACGGCAGTGGAGGAATCTCCAGCTGTGCACCTGTAAGTTAAACTTATTTTTCTGATAAGGTAATTTTGTGGTAGGGTTACCTGATTAGAATTGCTTGTATCACTGTCTTTTAGAAAAGCAGCAAGAGGCTTCTGAATTCAGCCAGTTGAGGCTACTTGCTGTGGCTGCCCAGGGCATCTGAAGAAAAGGGAGCATGGACAGTGGGTTTAAGCCCAACTAAATACAGGTTGGGGGTTGCTTCTGCTGGTAGAGTCTATCTATCCAAGACACCTTCTGTAGCTGCATTTCCAGAGTGACACCTTGTCTGATTTTGTATGGATGGGTTTTATGTGCAGACTTGGCAACTCAAGACATTCTTTTTAAGATTTAAAAATAATAATAATAATAATAATGCTTTGTCAGACCTTTCTGTTCTTAGAGAGGGAAAACTGATGGGCCAGTCTTCTAAAGCAGAATTTTGCCATAGTTTAGCACTTTCATCAGAAGGAGCCGTGTATACAGAGCCATGTATACAAGCTGAACATAAGTTGCATGTTACCTCTTGTTATCTCACTGGAGAACAGAAAAGGCTTTTTGCTTGACAAACATACCAAA